TAGCACCACTTAATTCCTTGGTCATCAACAATACACCTTTACCTAGTAACTCACATAATATGCTAAGCCTCCATGCACAATTCAAGCGGTGCTTTCCAACTTCTTTACCGCCAGTTTGTTCTTTGATGTGTAAGGTAACTGTTGGATCGATAAATGAAGAATAAGTAGGAAAAGTGATAGGTGATGATGGATCTGAAGAAGGTGAAGTATGACTGCGTTTGTTTGGTGAATTTAATGGATCAATATGATTATTTTGAGCGACTTCTTCTTTGTAAGAATTGTAAGTAGTAAATAATTTATAAAGTTCCAAGTTTGAAAAAACTTTAGAAGAGATTCCATCAATTCGGGATGTTGGTGGTGATTGAAGAAGATGACATAGAAGGTTTAGGCGTGATGATGATGCTAAATTTGTAGATTGAGCAGGTGGACGGATGTTGGCATAACTTTCTTTGATAGCCGAGATTAAAGCTTTTGATTCTTCGAGTCTCTGAATAAGAGTTGCTTTAGTGATAGTTGTGAAAAGACGTTTAACAGCTTCACAGCCTATAATGACAAAGAATTTTTTGTTTTTTTTTTGTTTTTTTTTTTTGGTTAATAACTATCTTTAATAAACAAATATTACGATATTAGCTTACTCAGAGGAGGCGCCTTATGTTTATCCGTTGATCGTCTTTTGGTAGAAGTATTTGGTTGTGGATTGTGATCTTCATCTGAATTGGGACTTTCACCACTACGCTTTCTTTTAGAAACTGTGGGCATATGAGCGCGCCATACCTCATTTTCGTGTGGAACAGTTTCAATCTCATCTTTTTCCAATTCGTCCATCATATCATCGTCATCATCGTGGTGTTCAGTCTTTAATGTATTGGTATCTTGAGAAAGGTTACCATTTGCGTCGTTAATTATATGTTCTGAATCATGATCATGAAATTCTATCATATATTCTCGTGAATTTTTGTGGAAAAACTTTATTTTATTTTGGAATAATCGACCTTTTAATCCAACGTCATCAAGCACAGCCTTTATAATACATAATAAACTTGCTAATTTGAGTGGAGATTCTTCGGTTTTTTGTTGAAGTAGATCTATAAGTCTAAGAAATTTGGAATCGCCAAGGATGTCAGCGATAGTAGGTTGTAAGAGTTGTGGTGAAGACGACGACTGGGAAGCGTGGGAAGAGTGACTATTTGACCCATTATTTCCGAGACGTGCATTGTCAACATCCATAGGGGTTGCGCTATGTTCGGAAGTTCCTTTATTACAAGTCACAAATTTAACTACATAGCTTTGACCTTTAATATCGAAAGAAATGGTTTTTTTGTTTCCAAATACGGTTTCAGGGAAGTATGGCTTGCCAAGAACGTATTTAACAACATTCAGCACACTCGCTAATGAAGAGGCTGAAGTCGACGTTTTTTCTTTTAAAATTTCAATTGCCTTGAGAAGTTGTGCATCATTAACCACGTCGGCTATGGTCGGGCGCAAAATTGTTAAAGGTTGTGGCATTTTTTTTTTTTTTTTTTTTTTTTGAAAAGGACTTTTTTATATGTTTATTTAATATCGTACTTTTTTTGAACGGATAAAAAAGTTATAGGCTGTACTATGCTTCGTGGTATTCCAGCCCACGTCTATGTAATTTTATATCTATTTTATGTATTTTTGTTCTTAGCGAAGACGACCGCAAAAAAAAAAAAAGTGTGAGAACAGAAAAGTCCCAACGGGCAGTGCCGTTCGGGGGCCATAAATACACAGGATAAAAAGCCTTCCTTGTATGACATGTTTCGGGCCGTTTCTCCGGATTGGATTAAGTCATTGATATACTATCACCTACTATCACTGTTACCTCGGCCCCAAATCTGGAGCAGTTTATGGTGGAAAGACGGCAATTTTCAAGGAGGTGCATGAAAAAAAGGCCCCGAAACAGTCGGATGTTCTCTTAATGTTAATGTTAATCTAAGGTCTATAAAAAAAAAAAAAAAATCCAAATCACATGATAATTTACATGTCGATTATCAAAATCATTGATGCTATAGAGTTCATTACTCAAGTACGTACGTACGTACATACATGTCAGATATGTATTGTATCTTGCGGAAATGGTTAAAAAAAAGGTATTATATTGGATAAATCCTCCAAATCATACACACTTCCGAAAGTATTTACACTTTCCATTGAATTCAATATCAATTTTTCAACTAGGTACTTTTTTAACGGGAAAGAAAGTATTGATACTGATAATAAATATAATATATATTTTATTTAAATATATATTGTGATTACTTTTTACTCGACAATTATGTAGGTTATCGGAGGCCTTTTGAACAACATATTTCTACAAACTCATTAGTATTTAAAGATAAACCAACAATTAAAACAATCTCACTTTCAAGAAAAGAAAGCGTTGTGACCAAAGAATGTATTAAAGACTTACAGAATTTACTTAAGCAAGGAGAAGAAATTATTCTATATAAAGAACCGCCACAAAATTACTGTATATTTATAATTGGCTGTTTCATATCACAGCCTTTGGATCAATTTTAAATACGTAAGTGAGTTTCCTCTATTGTTAAGTAAAGTTATAAATTTTATAATATATATAATCTTAATTCATATTTAATCAGGGTGAATATTGCGGATTTATTTTGGCGCTTGCCACACAAAAAGACTGAGTAAGCATTTTAGGATGTTGAACAGATATCATTGATTATCCATTCCATCATGTGTCACACGAATTAAGTTTGTACAAAGGCCATCGCCGATAATCCCGACACATACTAAATATTCACTCGGAGTTCTGGTTTTGGGGCTTGGGATTTTCCTAGTTTTTATGTTTATTCCAGCAAGATAGGTGTTCAAGTTGTTCAAATTAGCTTCTACTCGCAGATTTCATAAATTCTTCTAACATTATTCAAATATCAATTACCTAGAAATGTTGTTAGACTGACTATCTTACAAAAGAATGTTACTATAGCTAAAATCGAAACGTGCTCGAAAATTCCTTCTCTTTTTCCACGTGTGAGACTGATTCCTATCGAGAACTTATATTCTAAAGAACTGCTATGAAATAAAATTGGTATTTATTTATTTTATCAATTGAACTGACTATATGCTCACACATCATTACTTATTAAAGTTTTACTTTAAGGAAAACTGGTCATGAGCACAACGATAATCTAGACCCATTTATAATATGGGAAAAAGGGAAAAAAATTGGATATTGTTTAGACAGAAATGGTGTTTTCGAACATCCTAAATTATTCGATCATATTTTTTGTAATCCCAATGGTAAGTAATATTTTTTCATATATATGTATATACAGTCACACCCCTCTAAGTGCATACCATCAGGACCATAGTGAAAAAAATTAAAATTTTGCACTTAGAGGGTGTTTGCATTTATAGAGTGTAAAATATATAAGACTCTTATAAGTTGGGGCCAACCTAGATCGTGCATTTAGAGAGGTTTTACATAGTACTTGCACTTAGGGGGTGTGCAATTAGAGGGGTGCGACTGTATATGTGTGTATATATATAGTATGTCTAATCCATCGTGAGATTCAAAGTAAATAAAGAGTAACTTATAATTTTTTAGCGGTAGAATATCATTTGTAGTGGCATAAGTGACATGGTTAATTTTTGCCGTCCAGCGATTTAGCAATTTATGGTTAAATTTTTATCTTTTTTTAACCCCGTTTCTTTTTTGGTCTTGTACATACCTTTATGCACATGAAAAATGATTGCATCGAATCGTTGTGCTATGCATGTTGATGCTTCACCCCAAACAATAACGAAATTGTGCAGTAGACACGTTCGTCTCTTTCCATTCAGCATTTACATGTGCTGGTGCCTCTTACTTTTTTTTTACGCCAATGATCCAATGATCAAAAATTCACAATAATAAGGACCGATTTACTTCAAATCCTGACAATGTTAACATTAATTTTTAAATTCACATACTTACCAATAGAACTTTATTTTATGTAATAATAATTTACCTTATTAAACTCTGATTCTCTCGTTCATGATCATGAGTTTGTGTAACTAGTGTACCATTAAAACGGTATAAATTTGTTTTTGATAGTTTTAAATAAAGAATTAGAATTGAAAGGTAATTATTTTTTTAAGAAAATTTAGATGTAGATATTGAAGGTCATATTGGAAACCTTTTTAGTGACGATTTCTATTATAGCCGTCTTTTCTAAATGCGCTCAATAAAAAATTAGAAAGTATTTAACTTAAAGGTTGAATTGAGCAAGAGCTTGTATTTAAAGTATAAGTTTGTGTTGCTGATAATGTAATATAAAAACCGATTTTATAAATAGTTAAAATTGTTATATTTATAAAAATATTTTTTTTACAATCCTTATTATACTATATTAAAACAAAAATATTGTAAATAAAAATAAAGTTTAATTGTAAATATTTTTATTAAACCAAAATTAGACAATAAACTTTAATAAAATGTTATAAAAAAATTATTTTTATTTTAGATTTTTTAAAAAAAAATTTATTATTTCAGGCAAATTTGGAAAAGTATTTGTAATTTTTTAAGTAAAATTAAAAATTATTAATAATATAGGATATATTTTATATATAAACTTACAATATTTTATTTAAAACAAATTCTTTTAAGCTTTATTATAAAAAGTTTTTAATTTTATTATAAATCTTTAGAGTAATAAAAGTTTAAAGCTTTTGTTTTAAAAAATTTTTACTATAGAATTTTTTAAAATTTTTTAAAATTTTATATTTTTTTAAAAAAAAATTTTTTTACTTCTAATACAAATTATAATTTTTATAAGTTATTACTAAAAATATAATAATAAAAGTTGTTATTCTTATATAAACTATAATTTTGTATTGAAAATTATAAGGCATATTTGAAATTTTAGATCTACCTTTGAGATAATTGGGGGTAAGGAAAGGATTAGAGGTTCTACTTTGTAGAATTAAAAGTATAATAAGAGAGTTTAAATAGGTAACTCTCTAGTTGGGTTGTAAATATAGTAGCTAGTATAAAACCTAGAACAAACTATTTAAGTAAATGATTAAAAGTTATATAAATAGCTAGTTGTACTTTTATCTATAGACCAAAAAGTTTAAATAGATAATTTTCTAGTTAGATTGCAGATATAGTAGCTAGTATAGAACTTAGAACAAACTATTTAAAATAATGGCCAAAAGTTGCATATATAGCTAGTTATATACTTATTATATTCTAAAATAAATCTTTTTAACAAGAAGATATAGCCAAAAATATTGGTAATCTTAATATCAAAAAAAAAATTATAAATTATAAATTAAAAATTAATATTTAAAAAGATTGCCAAAAATTTGTAAATAATTTTTTTTAGTTAAAATTTTTTTAAAATTTGATTGTTTTTAGTTTATAAGCAATTTAAACTTTTTTTAATAATATAAAATTAAAAAAAGTAAATTATAAACAAATTTATAACAATTTTTTAAACAAATTTGTTAAAAATTGTTTATAGTTTAAAAAATAGTATACTTGTTTTATTAGTTTACTAAATTATTAATATTAATAAAATTATTATTATTTTAGATTTTTTTTATTTATATTTTTAATTACAATTATGTTTAAATTATATTTTTATTTTTTTTTAAAGTATTTTTAAAAATATATTAAGATAAGAATATAACCAATTTTTTAAAATAATATATAGTCAGATTCTCTTAAGTACACATTCTTTAAGTAGATATTATATGAAAAACTTCTCTAATATGCATACCTCTGCTTGGTTTTAACTCATATAACAATTATAAAATTTAATTTTCCTAAGTGTATATCTCTTCTAAGTATATATTTTGTATTTTTTTTTACTATAATCTTGAGGTTATAAGATGATATTCATTTAATTAATTAATCTATCTATAATTTTTTATAATAATTAGCCAATTATAATATATATTTTTTAAGAAGATCTATTGTTTAATACTACTAGAAAATAAAAAAAAACTTTATATAAAAAAGCTTACAAACTAATAAATACATACAAAAAGAATTTGTTATATTTAAAAATAGATAGATAATATATAAATTAGTATTTAATACTAATAAATCCAAGCTTAACCTGATTAAAATTTAATATATAAATAAATTATTAACAAATCTTTTAGTTTTTATTTATTATATTTTGAAAATTAAAATAATTCTATCTTATTTTTTGTTATTATGCTTTTTATTAAACATGATGTAACTCTTAGCTTATATAATTAATGAAATGATAATTATTATTGATCTACTACTTAACCCAAAGTTATATTTACTAATTTAGTAGTATAATTTTATAATATTCAGAATATATATATAAAATATATAGTTTTTTTTTTAATATTCAAGATATATAACTACTTAGGCTCTTGGCACTTTATTAGTACAAGCAGGTATCACTAATCTAAAAACTATATATAACATGTTATAGTAGTATTACAAGAGTACAACTAAGCTACACATACAACTTTTGGTTATTTAATTTAAGTAGTTTGATCTACTAGCTACTATATCTATAGCCTAACTAGGAAGCTATCTATTTAACTCTCTGGCTTTAATCTCTTTACCATGTTCTTTCTAATATATCTTTTTAAAATAATTTACTATTAAAGACTCTAAGACTTTAGCTACCAGTTAATCAAGTTTTCTAGAGAGATATTTATTCTTGTAATAAATCTAACAGAGTGGTCTATATATATCTCATACATATATTTAGCTACATGTTTGGTAACTTTTACTAATTAGTACTTGTTGTACTATTATTAC